GTGAATGAATTTTAGGAATACAGTGTTAACTTATTTCCAACACCAGCTCTGATTCTTCCATTAACTTTTTCTGCCATTTAAGATGAACACAGAAATTCAAGAGGAACAGGCTCGTGTCTCTTCCATGACCATCTTTTCTAGGCCACCACCCATTTTCTACTTCGTTGCCCCTCTACCTTGTTACCCTGCTGCAGAGATGTTAGCATGGCTCTCCTAAGTTTTCCCATCAATTTTCTTCCAGTATGAAAGTTTCTTGGGGACAAAGTCTTTGGCCTATTCTTCTTTGTAACCCCAGCACTTAGTGCAGGGCAGACACACAGCACGCATGGCACTCAGTGAATATTTTTGAATAAATTAATTTTTATCAACTGTGATTCCACAATTCTTTCCCCCTGGGTCGCCTACATAACCATAATGAAACTCAGATTCTTATAAGGGATTCTTGGTGTTATAAAGTGTTTAGAAAAGGTCATAAGTTTAAGACATGGTACTGATGCTACTAAAATCTCTTAGTGGAGGGACCTAATGAGCCCACTCTCTGGCAAGAGAAAAACTGACCCTCTGTTCTCTTTCCACAAGTTAGGCACAAGCAAACTGATGAAGAGGGGAGGGAGATGCCACTGGTAGGCATCTGCAGAACTGTTAATCCAGCTCTAGACACACCCTCAACACCTTCATTAACCCAAAGTGAACTGTGTGAAACTGGATTTCTGAACTACAAGACAAATAGGAGAGTCTTTTCCAAAGCCTGATTTAGAGGAGGCTCTTCACCTCAAGTCTAAAATCCCCTTCAGGCCACTGAACCTACCCGCTGTGATCTGCTTGTGACATGGAGAAATCACAGAATTTTCAAGATTCTGAAAAACCCACACTTCTTATTAGTAGTAGTCAGGAAAGAAAGTACATAGAATTAGGTGATAGCAATGTGTCTTCTGTATATTTTTCACACTACAGCTTAACAGAAACATCCACACCTCAAAGGTTCCTACCAGCCACATATAATTCACTTCAGACATATATACTTTTTGAAAAATAATGTTTTGGGTGGTTGGAGTGAGAGATGCCCAGTGGTGGGTGTTCAGGAATTCTTTATGCTTTACCATTTAAAAGAAGCTAATAGCTGAGAAAGCACCCATACCTTTTGCTCCCTGTAGAATTTTGGGCTAAACTTAGTTCTTTGCAGCTCTGTGCTGCATACATTTTAAGCAGTTAGGAATTTTGCACATGAGCAGGAATTAAATTCAAAAGTGGAATTTCAAGTACCATTCGCATATTGGAGCAACAACAATGGGATTCCATGACAATGCTAATTTGAGTGTTTCTGTTGGGTGACTTTTATTTTATTGCTCGTGCCAAAGATCAGTACTATGAAAAGCAAAGTGAACTCCGAACAATCATTTTCACTGAAGAAAAATTTTAAAGTTATAGAGAATCAGAATTAAAGCCAGATCTAAAACTTTCTCACACCAGGAAAATATCTAAACCAGGCATGAACTAACATTTAAGAAACATCCATTAACTTCTGACTACAGTTATGGTCTAAGGCAACCTTCTGAATTTCACATTCATCCTTGATATTATCTATTTTCACAATTACCCCTCTCTGTAACTTCTAGGAAACTGACAGGGCTCAGGGTTTTTTGTTTGTTTGTTTGACTTAACGTAGTAATGCAAACAGTAGGCCATTCTGAAAGTGATTTACCCTCCTTCCTCTGCTTTCTTTCTCTCCAAAGCACTTATGAATATTTCATATTATATCTATTATATTTATATATTTATTTTTATGTATTTTTTAACCCCCTGAGAACTGCGCTGTTTGGTCTCTTTTGTTCTTGGGCCTGTATCCCTGGCATGTAAAACAGTCCCTGGCACACACTGGATCCTCCATAAATATTTGTTGGATGAATTCAGAAAGCGACAGGTTACCAACTATCAGATACTGTTATTTCAAACAAATCTTCCATTTATTATCTACTTATAGCTTTACAGAAATGTCTTTCTTCACCCATACATTTGTGACTCAATCTTTTGAGACAAGAATCCTTTGAGAATTTCATAAATATAATGGCCCTTTTCCCTAGAAAACTGCACTTTCTTCAATACATGCAAAAATGTGCATGCAATTTCCATTTGTGGATCATCCTTTTAGGGCAGAGGTTTGTGAACAGAGTGGACTGAATTCAGAGGCCCAAACTTGGAAGGGAAATAAAATTACTTCTCCATTTTCACAAATCTCTAATTAAAACTAGCAATTCCTTCTGTTCTGAGTGCCGGCAACAAACCACAGGAGATTAGCAGTACAGTTAACTTGGTTCCCAACAGAAGTCACAGATCACTCCATATCACATGTTTGTTGCAGGTATCTTGAAATATCATTTATTCTCACCACTGTCTTGGAGTTATAATAGTTATTAGACTTACAACTATTCTTGTTATTTAATGTGTTAAGAGAAGCCTGTTCATTTCTATATCGCTAATTTTTAAAATATTCTGAAAATGATTTCAGTGTAATCGGTTTCCTTTGTTTTTCTGTATATATATTAATTTATTTTACATTTAATAACATTATCCTAAGAACATAAGCTTATGCAGATCGCCAAAGAGATATATGTGGTGGGGGTACGGGATTAAGAAATCCTGCTGTCGGTAGCCACTGACTCTAAGTTAGGAACCTCTGCTAATAAAGTATAAAACTCAAGCTGCCTTAGAAATTTTCAATCCTTACCAGACCCATGTTATACTGTATCAACTGAAATACATGCTTTAGAAAAATTGGTTTTTTAATTT